TAGTTTGACAAAATTAGTGTATTATAAAAACCAAGTTGATAAATGTTAAAAAAATTAAAATTAAAATAAAATGAATAAAAAATCTAAGACTAAATAAAAGGAAATAAAATGAAAGTATTATTTCTTCGATGAAAAAATATACAAGTTAAAAAAAATAAAAATGCATACAATGTTAATTTAAAAATATAGCATAGAAAAAACTTATTTCACTTTTAATCAAAGGAGGAAGTACTCTTATTTTTAAGATTGCACTTTATTTCCTAATACAAAGGCAAATTCGGGTGATTCTAATATCCTCTCTTTATTTGCAAAAAGTAAATACAATACTTTTTTAATAAGTAAAGTGAAATTAGTTTTGAACCCTTGATATTTATAGATATAAAATGAATGGCTAAGATTGATTGGTGAAAAGATTAAAAATCAAGAGGAACATATGACTACATTGGGTAATAAAATGTTAATGAAGAATAAATAAGTAAATTACTACTTCACCTTTATCTCTTTCTTCTTCATCTCTACGACAACTCTTCAATTTTTATCTCTCTCATTTTCTCTTGACCTCCTTCATTCTCAGATTTTTTTTTATCTAAACTTTAAAATTTGTTGGATAAAATTAACTAAGATGAGATTTTTTTCCTCCGTGACTTCCTTCATAATTTCTTCTGAATTACATGCACCACCCTATCAATATGGGTTCCAATGAGGCATGGCTGGAAGAACATGAAACATAGTTGGAAAAAAGTAAAATTTGAGAAAACATAATGAAAAACATTTACAGAGATAAAGACAATACTTCTTTAATTGTTTAACCAAACAAATTAAAACTTCACAAGTAAGATAACCATTTCCTGCAACGCTTGTTTCGCGTTTTTCACCTAACAAGGTCGTTCCACTTCACATTCAAAAATTTTCAAATAAACACCCAACACTATTTACATTAGCTCTGTGACCAACCGCTACTAAATCTATGCTTTCTTATTTTTCAAACTTCTACATCAGTCATTACCACCACTAGATGTAGATATGATTTTTATTAAAAGGTTGCAACTTTCTAAGTCGGTCAGCTGAGACAACTGACTAATAAGTGGATAGTAGCATACATTAACTATCAAAATCGGTTCAGACATCCACCACATGTAAAACTGATGTTTTTTTAAATATAACTCATCATTTTCTACATTGGCTCTATAAGTAACAGATGTTTAAACTTATTTCTTCCCTAGGTCACTTTCAACATCTGATTTTCAATAAATCCGATGTACATATATATACATATATATATATATATATATATATATATATATGTTTAAATTTTCTAAGTTGAATCTTAAAAGTTAAGAAGAAGATAAAAAGTGGTTGAAAAAAGCAAAAATGGAAAAAATATAAAAAAATATATTTTTTAAAAGAAATACAACTTTTTACATTAGTTCTCTCAGAAAACTGACGTAGAACACATTTTTTTTTTTACAAAACACAACTTTCTACATTGGTTCTCTAGAGAGAACATATGTAGAAATTTATTTTTTTACGCGATTATTTCAAAGAATTAATGTAAAAAATTGATGTATAATGTATTTTTTTTAAAGAAGACACAACTTTCTAACTTTCTACATAGGTTGTCTGGAGACAACTGATGTAGAAATTTATTTTTTGTGCAATTACTGTAACATTGGTTATCTCATAAAACTGATGTCGTAATTAAAAAAAACACAACTTTCTGCATTGATTATCTAGAAAGAACAGATGTGGAAAGTTTTTTTTTTTTTTGCATAGCTACTTCTACATTAGTAGAACTGATGTAAAAAGTAGTAAAAAATTTTGAATGTCATTGTTTTTTAACGTTGTATACGAAGGTGCGTATAAGCTTTGATTGTTTGCTTCTTCGTTGTTCTAATATGTTAATAAACATAATAGAAATTTGATACCCATAGAAAGTGGAAGAAACATGTCATTTTATTAGTTTAAATTTTTTTATGTTAAAATTCTGTCATTTATGAATCTTTGATGGTGCTAATAAGATGAGAGTAAGAGAGGAATAAAAGGAAGAAGAAGATAAAGGAGAAATATAAATAACATTCTAAAATTTTAATATTTTCTAAATTTTGTAGTGTTATATTTTTCTGGATAAAGGTTTCTGCCATTTAAGAATCCTTTACAGGATAAGAATGAAAGAAGAAGGAAAAAAACTATTGCATTACTGATTTTAGAATCTGTATATTTTGTAGTAACTGTATTGAATATTATCCAACAAATTATGTATCGACGACTATGAAAAATATGAACTTTTTACTCGTAATTATCACAAATTGAGAAGGAAGAGAATATGAAATTATCAATATATCCTTTTATAAATCTAACTTAAATAACCAGTTTCCTATAATACAATTTTAACCATCCAATTAAAATTAACAGTTCACAATATTTAATAGCTTTTTCAAAATTTATTTTTATTTTACTTTTTACCAAAAAAAAAAGAAAAGAGAGGAAGTTAGAATCACCCAGCAAATTCAACTGAAATTAACTCCTTTTCTAATCTCCAAGAATCATCAATCTTTGAAAAGGGTTTTGCAGCTGAAAACTTCTGCTTTCTTTTAGTTGTTACATAATGCTAGTTTTCTTCGTATCTATTATCCTCGATGGGAATGCCCATCATCTGCAGTTTCTTCCTACTACGTGGCACATCAAGATTGGGTTACTCTTCACGGGATCGAGTAGCTATGCAGCAAGAAAGTAAAATTAAAAGTGATTTTCTTAAATATTTCTTATAAATTTATATTTTTTATTTACTATATAATAAATATTTTATTATTTAAGAAAGAAAATTATATTTTTTTGTCAATCAATCAACTGTGACAAAAGTTACGAGCATAAATGCTTCACAGCCAGATTTGAACCAAAGGAAAATAGACTATGCTAAAAAGATTATCATTCAACTTGTATCGTAAGGTGTGTTAGATAAATTTTGACCATTGATTTACATAATTGAGTTTAGCCAATGGGACAAGGGTTTATACGATCCATTTGAACCTTACAACTTCTGATTAAATTTTTGACTCGTGTAAAAAAAAGAAAGAAAACTCTTCTCTTTAAGCTTTCATTTTGAAACATTAATTTGGTCTTTTATAAATAAAATTGACCTTATTGGGTTATTTTTATTTTCATAAAAGAAATTGTCGTCAATCATTGGTGGCTTTTATTTGTTTCTTTCGTCAACTTACATTTTATTCCCTTACCCTCTTCACTTCCTTCCAAACACTGCCAACTTAATGAAGTAACACTCTCCGATCCCACCATTTTATAAAAGAAATTCAACATAATTGAGCCTTCACAAGTCTTAGACAAAAATACCTATTGAGAACAATCTGTCGACAATATTCTATCCCCCTAACCACCACTATCTTCCAAACTATATAAATAAAGCTCTCATGTGCCTTAGCTGTAAACAATGATAGAGTCAATCAAAATGGATATACAAGCAAACACAAATCATTTTTCATGACATTGGTTTTGATAAGAAAAATACTGAAATACCATAGCTTTTTTAGAGTGGCATGTTCTAACCATGTTCAAAGTGATTAGGATGTATAAGGATCTGCCCTCAATGTTACACATTTAATTATTAGTTGTGGATTTAGCATTAATCGTTATGATAAATAACATGTAATCAGACAAGGGTCCAAAGCCAATAGTATTTTGCTTTATCATTTACACTTTACAGTTTAATATTTTATCATATATCTTTAGACATATGTTAAAAAATCGTTATTTTATTGAAGTTATAAATTATAAACGTTTTAAAATTTTTGTATCTATGAATTTTTAATATGAATTGCATCCCCTGCGAGGGGAAAAAAATCTACTGCAGGGGATCCTGTTCCAAATTGTAAAATAGTTGTATAGTAATGATACATTGAAAAGGAATAATGGAGACATAGCTGATATTTCAGTGCAAATTTTTGCACCCCTTTTCATTTTTGGCTCAATGCTGTATTTTCTGTTGAGCTGAAACCACTTTGCTTTTTCTTTCATAAACAAATACCAGGATACATCTGAGTGTAAATTTTACTGCACAAGCTTCGAAAGTGAACACTACTTGAACACAAGATCTACCAGCTTACATCAGCTGGACATTATAGCATGCATAAAAAGAAATCTCTGTTACTAGTCTTAGTTTCTTCTTTTTATTTTTGGCTTTCTCATTTACACTAAAGAATTGGCAAATCCTTCTAAACAATGAGTTGAAAAGGAACTTTCACTCTTGTAATCCCTCTACTGTTTATGAATGGAGTTGTGTTATTAATACAACTCATTCACACTATACTACTTTTTCTATTTATCTCTCTCTATCACAATACCTATTTTGTTCCACAGTCTATCCATTGTATAAATTTTTGTACCGACTTTTTTCATAAATACAATTTGTCTTAGAATAATGTTCATTGACCTTGTATACATACATACATATTAAAAATATTTAGAAGCAAGCACATGGACTTCTGTTTAAGCAAATGTAGAAGTAGAACCGAAGCCAGAGTGTTCATAACTTGTAGTTCAGAAAACAATCAATTCTTCCTTTTACAACTAAAATATTGCGTGAAAGAAAGTGGAAATGAGATTTTCGTTTTTTCTCCTCTTCCCTCTGTCAATTGTCCACGTGACAATGTCAATATGAATGGTGATTTTTTAGGAAAATATTGTGAACCATTGGGAGGTGTCCCCTTTACATTTTGAGTATATTTTTGTGCTGTGTGGTAAGTGAGAGATACAAACAATAGCATACGATGTCAATTTTTAGTTGATCAAATAACAGAACTTGATTTATTTACAAGGGTGGGACATATCATGAACTAATGAGGGTGATTTAGGCATAATATGTAGTGGAAAACCTTGAGAAAGTTTAGTTCAAAAATCAAGTGAAATTTGAAATTTGTTTATCCCAAACAAAAGAAAAATAAAGTTTATATTTGTATGAGGCATTCAGCAAAGCTTTGATTCAGAATTCAGCTCAACAATGAAGTTTTGGGCCAGTGAGGTTCTCAATGGGAAGTACTACACAACACTAAACACTCCCAAAAGTTTTGTCCTGTTACCATTCATTCTATTTCTCATCATTCTTCCTTTTTCTCTTATGATATTCTCACATGAATCATATCCAAAGATATCTTCTGTCAGCACTTTGAACAGCACAGAAGCAAAACAATGTAAAATCTTTTCTGGGAGATGGATTCCTTATCCTGAAGGACCTTACTACAGCAACAAAACATGCCATTTCATTACAGACACACAAAACTGCATAATGTTTGGGAGGCCTGATAGAGAGTACTTGCATTGGAGATGGAAACCAGATGAATGTGAGCTTCCACTCTTCAATGCAACTCAATTCTTAAAACTTGTTAGTGGAAAGAAAATGGCATTTGTTGGAGACTCAGTGGCCAGAAACCAGATGCAGTCTTTGTTGTGCCTCCTTAATCATCAAGTAAGTTATCAAACCTTGTTTTATTTCTTGATTAATCATCCATTGTTTATGACACAATTTTGTTAATGAGCTCCTTCGCATCACTATAAAAAATTACACTAATGGTTCATTTTTCTATTTGCCACTGGACTCTGGTATAGTCTTTGGATGCGTTTGGGGTACACAGCTTAATTAAATGTTTAGTCAATTAAACTCTTTTTATACAAGGGCTTAAGCTAGAATTTTATTGAAATAAGTTAAGGAGTTCATAAAAGTCAGAAGCTATTTCTATAAAGCGCCTTGCACGTAAGTTTTTCCATACACTCCCTCTAGCTAATATAAATATTACAAGTCTGCACAAATAGTACTAATAATATGATGCTTCAATGGTAATGGTGCATATGAATTTTCTATACTACTATTAATTCAGATTATTTCCATTTAATAAAGTCTTAACAATAGAGGAAAGTCCAATGACTGATCATAAGTATATGAATTTTTAGTTTAGTGCATGCTTGCTTAGTAAGTCCTGCTTATGTGGTTTATTGTTTCAGGTGTCTCAACCTGAAGACATTTCCCCGACAAACACGTCAGATTCCATAAATTTCAAACGCTATTTCTATGCTGATTACAATTTCACCCTTGGAGCACTATGGTCCCCATTTTTGGTGAGATTCAGTGATGCTGATCACAATGGTAATCGTTCTTATGACAGCATCATGAAATTGTATCTAGATGAGGTAGATGAAGCTTGGTCTAGTCAAGTTGAACACTTTGACATTGTGATAATCTCAGCTGGACAATGGTTCTTTAGACCTCTGTTGTTGTATGAAAAGGGTCAACTTGTTGGATGCAACAAATGTGGAACTGAGAATGTCAAAGACCTTGGTCACTACTATGGATACAGAATGGCTTTCAAAACTGCATTCAGAAGTCTTCTAAATCTTAGAAGATATAAAGGGGTCACATTTTTAAGGACATTCTCTCCATCCCACTTTGAGAATGGAGATTGGAACAAAGGAGGGAACTGTGTGAGGACTAAGCCATTCACCAAGGAACAAATCAAATTGGAATTTTGGTATGTTAGGGAGATACATAAGACACAAGTGGAGGAATATAGAGAAGCACAAAGGGAAGCTAGAAAGAGAGGTTTGAATTTTTTTATGATGAACACAACTGAAATTATGTTGTTGAGGCCTGATGGACATCCCAACAACTATGGGCATTCCAAGAACAAAAATGTGACAATAAATGACTGTGTTCATTGGTGCTTGCCAGGCCCTATTGACACATGGAATGAGTTTTTGCTCTATATGTTGAATATGAAAATTCAGACATCTTCTCCTTGGAAGCTATAGCACTCTTTAAAACATCAGATTTACCTTGTTGAATGAAATATATATTGTTTATTATTTGTTTTTGGGGTTTGTAAAGTATTCATCCAAATGTAAAAAGGTTGAGTCCTTATTTTTGAAAGCATAAGAGTCTTTGTACTATTTTTTTAATGTATTTATATATCTTTCTTCATTTAATGATACTTTTTTCCCTTGGTTTTTATATTAATTAAATTAATTCTTTTATTAGGTTTTTTTTATCAAAGGAAATCATTATTTTTCATAATTTATTTAATTATTACTCATTTTTCTTCAATTAATTAAACATAATACATAATGAGACATTTATGAATGTCATTAAAATAATATTCTTTTATTATTCAAAGGGGTGATTAGGAAAGGGAAAGGGACTTATCTATTGCTGGATGAGTAAACAAGGTGGGGTAAATAGAAAATTTAACATAATAATGAGTATAACTCACATACAAAGTTTATAGTTTATATTGTATTTATATTTTTTATTTATTGAAATTTTGTAGTATACTTATTGTATTTTTAATTAAATAACAGAAAAGGAGGAATATCATATTTCAGTTAACTAAATTATGAGTAACAAAAGCTGACATGAGAATTTAGATATCCAATTATATAAAAAAAAACTATTATCAAATAAATATAAAAATACATATAAATAAAATTTTAATACACGGATATGAAAAATTAAAACCTTATCTATTGCTGTTCTTAACTGGAAACAGAGTCGAATATCATTTCAGATATTGGCCCACTTTTGTCCTCTGAATCCGACAAACAACGATACCTGTGGAAGCAACATCTTAACCTTTCTTATCTTTCTAGCTATGTTTCCTACGGTGCTCAGTCAATTGTATCTTTAAAAAAATATAATGCTGATTAAAATAAAATTGATTAAATAAGTATTAATCAATTTTTAAATTGTATAAATTTAATTTATTTAATAAAATTTCAGTTCATTAATTAAATTAACAAAATTTAAAATTTATAAAAAATTATTAATTTACTTAGATAAAAATACACGTGTATATATATATATATATATATATATATTCAATATCTTTTAACATTAATTATTAAATTTGTATACTTACTCTTTTTAATAGTATTTTTACAAAAGATAAGATTTATAAGTATTTTATGACATTTATTTATAATAAGGAATATGTTTTAAAAATATAAATAAATAAATTTTGTATAACATACAAATGTCTAAATTATATAAAACTTGAGACAAATGATGAAAATAATTTAATAAAATAATTAATAAATTTTATATTTTATAAAAAGTTATTAATTATGTATAGTAATATATTATTTAATGTATATTTGATGGTTGGGCTTTAATGCATAGTTAATGGTACTACAGGATGGATATATTTCTAATAAAAAAATTGACCATTCATAGATGACTTGCAATAATAACAATTATTTTTTCAATGTCAAATAATTTAACACTTTAATCTTAAGTATTCATGATTAAATTGAATAATTAAAATTTATGTCTCTCTCTGTGATTGAAAACTCTTCTAATTTGTACTTGTGCCATGAGATCAAAATCATATTTCCTATATACAAAATGAACTTATTATGTTTTCAGCTTCTGGGTGTTGTGAAAATTGAGTTGTGGATTTGAGAATCACTTAACATACAAATAAATAGTTGCTAGTAGATCAGTCAACAATAAAAAAGAAAGAAAAAATGAATCCGATGCAAATGGACGATTACTTTATTGCACACAACTTAGGCTACAGAATAGGACATGAATAAAAATAAAATTAGTGATAATGACATGTTATACATCATAGAAGTGAGTGAACAATATCATTAGGAGTATTTTTCATAAACATTCAGCCCATACAATCTGTATATATTATAGTAAGTTATAATATCTTATATTATTTTAAACTTAAATAACTGTTCTTAGCACAAAAATATACACACCTGTCTAGCACATGATGGGTTTCTAAAACATTACACACGAGTTTCAACCATGGCTCTAAAATGTACAGAACAGAACCTCAAGAAAAATAAAAATTGCTGATAAATATCCTAAAAGTACTGGTAAAAGAAAGCATTTAATATGTTGGATTATTTGAAAATTTATTACAAAATAAAAATTTATTCTTTTATTTTCTTAATTTAATTATAGAAGACATTCCTTTTCATTTTTCCAAAACAAGACTTAATCAAAAGCCAAATTAAACAAAAGAGATGCAAAGTTAAGTTGATTCCACACAATTATAGAGAGAGCAAAAGTGCTTCTTCTCTTCTCCTCGATCTGTCCCTTTTCTTCTTTTCTTTCTTTCTACATACCTTCCAACAAAAATGAAGCTTCAAGATATTGATCAGCTTTTCAGTGGCCCAAAACAAATGATCCCAAAAGTAACTTTAATAGCAATCTTAGCCATACTTATATTTACTATCACCCCACTATGCTACCCTTTGGTTAATTACACTTCATTCTTGAAGATCAACAAATATAAGAAGCCATCTCCTCCACATGATGAGCCAGCAACCTTGCCCTCAACGTATGTAAAAAAATGTGACATTTTCAAAGGGGAATGGGTGCCAAATCCAAACGCACCATATTACACAAACAAAACATGTTGGGCAATTCATGAGCACCAAAATTGCATGAAGCATGGAAGACCTGACTCAGAGTTCATGAAATGGAGGTGGAAGCCATATGAGTGTGAAGTTCCCATATTCAATCCTTTCCAGTTCCTTGAAATTGTGAAGGGAAAATCTATGGCTTTTGTTGGAGATTCAGTGGGAAGAAATCAGATGCAGTCTATGATTTGCCTCCTATCAAGGGTAAGTCTTCTACCTTAACACACTGCTACATTCCATTCTCATAATTTTCATGGAGGTAAATACCTAGATCAGGATCTATTTAGTGGTCTATTTCCCTCCCTATCTTAGGTGAATTTTACTGGTACTCATTTGGTTCAAATATAATTGTCATCCCTTATTTTATTAGATTAAAATCAAGTCTAAGAAATTGTATATTATTACTTGTTTGGTACATTACATATTCCTTGCATTTTAAATTACATGTAGTTTAAAATAGTAGACACATCTTAATAAAATTAATAATTACATCAATTATGATGACAAAAAACATTTTCTTTTTGGTATAGTACCCTTATTGAAAGATATGATGTGTAGTTGAGAATTAATTAACATGTAGGTGAGATACCAACCAATGAGAGCATTATTAAAAATGATAACAATTTAAAATAAAGGTAACATATAATAACATTATTTATGGGGTGAAAATGAATCGAGTTAGATCGAACTTTACCTTACATGGGCACGATGTATTTCACAAACTTAAAGTTTAAGTCTAACCTTTTACTTAATATAAGTATCATTTTTTTTTTATTGTTTGACATGGTTTGTTCTGAAAACTTGTTTTCAAACCTACCATATAGTAAGACTTTTGAAATAAGCTAACCAACCTTCCCTTAAATAGGTCAAGCTTTTATGTAGCACAATAACTTTATGACTATATATAATTCTAAGATATAATAGTAAAAACACTATTACGATAATACTAGAAAAATCCAGCTTTTTAGTCTAAAATGCTTGTTAATTGACTGGAATCATAAGCTTTTTCATATAAATAAATTTTTAAGACATCTTAACTTATCTAATAATAGAGTTAGGTTAGGCTAAATCTCAGCTGGTAGGTAAGGTCATATGTCTTTGATGGTCACTTGACCTATTTTAATTTCTAATTATTTAACCTAAATTATGACAAATTCATATTGTAATTTTTTTAAGAAAATAATATAATTAAAATATAAAAAACGTATAACTAATTTTAGAAAGTTGAAAATTTTTCTACTACTCTTTTGAGATATTTATCCAACAAATAACTGAAGTTAGATGTGGAACTTTTGGTCGTAACTAGACACTTAATCTTCTCATGAAGTTATGTGATTGCTATTTCTTTTCCTTTTTTGTATTGATAGTGTAAATTATTAAATCAAGTCTTCTTAACCTTTTAGGTGGAATGGCCTGTAGATGTATCATACCCACCGGGTGACTTTTTCATCAAGCGATGGAAATATCCAAGTTACAACTTCACTATGGTCACTTTTTGGACACCCCATCTAGTAAGAGCAGAAAAGGCATATTCAAATGGTTCAAGTCACATTGATCACTTCAACCTTTATCTTGATGAGTTTGATGAAAAGTGGACAACCCAAATTAAAGAGTTTGACTATGTCATCATAGATGGAGGACATTGGTTCTTTGGGCCAATGGTGTTCTATGAGAAACGAAAAATTATTGGATGTCATAAGTGCCTTTTAGAAAATGTCACTAACTTAACCATGTTTTATGGTTATAGAAGGGCTTTAAGTACTGCTCTTAAAGCCATCAGCAGCTTAGAAACTTTTAAGGGTATAACATTTCTTAGAACATTTTCACCTTCTCATTTTGAGAATGGGTCATGGGATCATGGTGGGAATTGTATTAGAAATAAGCCATTTAGTAGTAGAGAGACAAGATTAGAGAGTCTTTTTTTGGAATTATATAAGATTCAATTGGAAGAGTTCAAAGTTGCTAGGAAAGAAGCAAAAATGAAGGGTTCAAAATTCATGTTGTTTGACATCACGCAAGCAATGTTATTAAGACCAGATGGTCACCCAAGTAAATATGGGCAATGGATACATGAAAACATGACAAAAAGTAATGACTGTGTACACTGGTGCTTGCCAGGGCCCATAGATACATGGGGTGACTTATTGTTGGAAATGTTGAAGATGAAGGAAATGAGAAATGCTGAGGAATAAAGCTTCATTATCATCTGTAGAAAAATAGATAAATTTATAAATTAATATAATTTACAAAAATTTTCATTCCAAGAGTGCAATTTTTTTCCTTTTTACAATGGTATTACAAGAATCCTATTGAGATAAGCTGCAACACAAAAAATATTGAATAAATTATACACTTTTTAAAAAATGATTAAATAAATATTTTTATTTTATAAAATTACATTATACTTTCTATAAAAAAAATTACATTATATTTCTTTAAGAAATAGACTCCCAAATTAGTCTCTTGCATACGTAAAACATTTTTTATTTTTGTCTTGAATAACTATTCACTTTTAAATATAAGGATAAATTGCTAAGTTATCACATGTAGAATTGCATACTCAATAAAATTGACATTATTTGTGTTAAGATGGATTAACTAGAAATAGAGTTAAAATATTTCTTATAAAAAAGCTTGTATAGTTCTCTTTCTATGAGTTATGAGTTAACCTTAAAGAGTGAGTTAGATTCAATTTTCTTAATAGTTTAACTTAAAGCATGCTTGACAGTTTGTTGCAGTGCTACCAGTAAATTTGGATCCCCAAAATCATAAATATTAGCAATGAAAAATGGTCTATCATTGATTACTACAATTTAAATGATTGGTTAATTAGTTAAACAACCACACCATAATAAAAAAAATGAGAAATAGAAAATAAAAAATCTAACTTTATCTTCTTTTCAATGATTACATGATTATATAAGTGTATTATTGCCTAACCTTTTTTTATATGATAATTTCTATGGTGTCTTGAAAACTAAGAAGACTCTTCACACACTTAAAATAATCATTACCATTAATGTTATATTAAATATGTAAATAGATAATGAAGGTTAATGGTTCATCTTAAAAAAAGACATAAATATCCTTTGATTTTTAAGCTATTAAAACAATCATAATCATTAATTTAAGAAGAGTTATTAAAATGTCTTTTCAAGTTTATAAACATGGTAGCAAACATTTTTTTGCATAGATTCTTCAATTTTAGAGTAACTTTTTTTCTTTTTAATTATTTTTATTTGTTTTTCACTTGATTTCTCATATCATGAAGTGCATTTCTCTATTATGTTTGTTTCCCTTCACCTTGAGATGCCATATTTGTGTATTGATTTTTTATTCAAATCAAACCTTTGTTGTTGGGTTTGAGTTATTGGATGTATGGTTGGTTTTTATTTCTTTTGTAGAATTATTGTTTGGTGGATTATAAACTTTGAGTGATGATTTTGTTGGGTAAATTTTACATATTACACTTTCACTATTGAAAGAGAAAAATAATGGGTTTAACATTGTTATAAGTGACGTGCCATGCCACAAATGATGAATTTTTTAAGCTTTTAGAGTAGTGAATTCTAATATCCTTCTTTCTTTTGCCAGAAGTAAAAATAATGTTTTTCAATAAGTAAAGTGAAATTAACATTGAGTCATCAATATTTGTAGATAGAAAATGAATGATTAAGATTGATGAGTGCAAAGGTTAATAATCGAAAATAACATGTGACTATTTTGGATAATAATATGTTAATTAAGGGTAAATAGGTAAATTATTGTCTCTCCTTCATCTCTTTCTTTTCTATCTCCCTGCAACTCCTCTATTTCTAACTTTTTTTTTCTATCGAAACTTTGAAATCATACGAAACTTCACTCAAAAATGAGTTTTCCTAATTATCCTTGTCCCTTTTAGAAATCTGGGCTAGTGCAAGTGTTGGTGTAGGAGTTAAGGCTTTTGAGTTCTTAGGATGTAGATGATGTCTCCTTTCTCTCCCGTACACAATCTAGAACAATGGTCATTGGATATTTCTGTCAGAATTTCTCGAACACATGCATAGTTTCTATATCAGTTCTCTCAGTGAGGTAAAAAGTTTGTTTTTTTAATGTTACTTTCTAGATCGATTCTGTAGGAGAATTGATGTAGAAAGCTAACGTCACTGCTTTCTACTTCGATTCTATGAGAAAATTGATGTAGAAAGTTAACGTCACTGCTTATAGAACTAATGTAAAAAGCTAATGTATACTTTCTACATCGGTTCCATAGAGAGTAAAGATGTAGAAAGTTAGCGTACACAATCTAGAACAATGGTCATTCGATATTTCGGTCAGAATTTCTCGAACAAATGTGTAGTTTCTATATCAGTTCTCTTAGTGAAGTGAAAAATTTATTTTTTTAATGTTACTTTCTAGATCAATTCTGTAGGAGAATTGATATAGAAAGCTAACATCGCTGCTTTCTACTTCGGTTCTATGAGAGAACTGATGTAGAAAGTTAACGTCGCTGCTTATAGAACTAATGTAAAAAGCTAATGTATACTTTCTACAGCGGTTCCATGAAGAGTAAAGATGTAGAAAGTTAACGTCGCTGCTTATAGAATTAATGTAGAAAGCTAATGTATATTTTCTACATCGGTTCCATGGAGAGTAAAGATGTAGAAAGTTAACGTCCTTGTTACCTTTTACATCAGTTTTGTAGAAATACCGATGTAGAAAGTTAACGTCACTACTCATTATATCAATTCTATGAGGAAATCAATATAGAAAGTTAAAGTCGCTGTTTTTTACATCGGTTCTAATCGATGTAGATTTTTTTTTTAAAAAAAAAAGAAGTTATTTTCTACATGTGTCTTTCTATAGAACCGATGTAGAAGGCACTAATTTTTTTTTTAATAATATTCTTTTTTAATGTTGTAAACTTTGAAGGTGTATAACTTTTGACATAAAACTCAGATTTATACAAATAATATATTTTAAAATTTTAAAAATAAAAATTATCTTATTTGTATAACCTAAAAAATTAATTTAAAATATATTCCTTCTATAAGAGATTAATGTTACTATATTTTATTTAATTATGATATAAATAACAATTATATATAAAGTTTTCTTTATTGTTTTAAGACTCTTGTTTTTAAGACTAATTTTAAATTCTTAGTAACAATATTAAGGCTTTTAACATGTGAATACATAATTTTTTTTTGTAAAAGTCTTAATATCAATGGCATGAATATGTAAAATATTTGATAAATTCTAATATTTTTTAATAACTATGAAAGGTACAAAAGAAAATACATTGGGTTGCATTTTTTTAACCTTTTTAGAAAACTTTTTAAAATTACATAATTTAAGAAAAATATTATTTAAGAAGACAAGAAAAAAAAATATCAACTCTTTAAAGGTTTAAAAGAAGAATTTTTAAATTTTAAAAGAATTTAATTAAACACATTATTAGTATAAAAGTTTTTAAAGTAAACCCTTTAAATTAGTCTTGAGACGTATCTAATTAATTAGTCATTGATATTTTTAGATAATCTGGTTAGTTTTTGAATTTGTGAAATGTTAGATATTTTAATATAATTAACGATTTTTGACAAATGTTAAACACTTTAATATAATTAAGCACATTATCTTGTATTGTTTCACCTTTTCTCTTCATTTATGATCGTTACTATCCTATGAAGCACCGACATTAAGAGGAAAAAGAGTTCGGGTGTTGGACACGGATACGACATCGACACCCTTAGATGCGGCTTGGATACGTGTCCAACACTACTTTACAAGTGTCCAAAAATTAAAATGCTTTTTTCGGCTGTGACATAGCGCAAACACAGTTGGAGAAGGGAGACACGGCTCCAAAACGGCTCACTAAAAAAAAAATTCAAAGTAAAAAAAAAAAAGATGTTAAAACTTAAAAAAGTTAAAAAAAAATCTTTAAAACTCTCTCCTTTCTTCCTATTCCTTCTTCCGCATGTTTTCTTCCTAACTTCTGTGTTAGGTCTCTCTGTGTTTGCTTCTCATTCTCTGCACATTTTTACTAGTAAAGTTTTTTGTTTTTCTATTCATCTTTGTTTCATTTTCTTATTTCTATTCAGTGTTTTCGTTTTTATTTTTGTTTTTGTTTCTTTTTTTTCTGATTATGTTCTGAGGTTTATATTTATGTTTCGCTATTTCATTTTTTTTTTATTGTGTTTCTTTTTCTTTTTCTGCTTCTTTTTGTATTCCAAGGTTGATATTTTTGTTCCCTTGTTTCTGCTTCTGTTTCATTGTCAATCTGTTTCTTCTTATCATTTTATGTTTCTTTTTCTTTTTCTATTTTTGTTCCCTTATTTTTGCATGGAAGAAGAATTATAATTACAATATAAGAGATATGACAATATGGTCGACGATTAAAAGTTTGTTTTCATATGTGTTTTCCTTATCAAGAGTATGTTTTTCTTATAAAAGATCCGGGGTTAATATAAATCTGTTTCTCCCAAAATTTTATTATTAAGATTATGTTTTCCTATGTGTTTATTATTAGAAAATTTGGAAGTACTATGAGGATTAACAATTCTTTTTTTTTCTTATTTTTGCAAGTTGTGGTTGTGGATGCCTTGATATATAGTCACTCATTTTCTCTAAATCTTGTAGAAATGAATACTTCTAGTCAACCCTTATAAGAAGATGACACTAAACCCCTATGGATTTGTTACAAATATAAAAAATGTGTGTGTAGGTGATAAAAATTATGAAGTCAAATACGATATTTGTGACCTAACTTTCAATGGATCTTATACTAGAGTGAAGACATATTTTTTGAAGATTACAGAAAAAGAAGTTAGAAGTTGTCAAAAGATTACACCCTCAAAACTTCTTGATTTAAAAAAGATAGACAACGAGGCTACATTAAAGATAGAAAAGTCAAAAGCAAAATTTGTTCCTTTCTCTCGGGTTTCTAATGAATCACCCATGGACACCAATGATGGTGTTGATCTCAAAAAGAGAAAAATATCTAGACCACGAGAAAAAACTTTCAATATGCAAGCTAGAGAGGTATTAGATTATGAAATTACTACATGTTTTACTCATTAGGATTGTCTTTTCATTTAGCAAGAAATTCTCATTATAAGAGAATTTTTTCTTTTGCTACCAACAATTATATAAGTGGATATCAACCTCCAGGCTATAATAAGTTGAGAACAAGTTTGCTCCAAAATGAAAAAAA